TTATCGACCATTCCATTTGTTTATATTCTTTCCACCACACATACACAGATACATATTGTATACAAGCACATTATTTCTTGAGTCAGACTATGTAAAAAACAACTATTAGAGATAAGAGCGAAAACAAACAGATAAAAGTAGGGCAGAATCTTATGGTTTTATCGAAATAAAATACAATGCTTTTTAAATAGGCAAAAATAAATTGCAGAATTTAGGTACGAAAGATCTTCCTTTATTACAAATTTTAATCTATAAAAATTTCTCAATTTGTGGATGGGAAAACTAAATAATGAATTCATTTCTTTTTTTTACCATTACTATATGCAAACTAAGTTACACAAAGGCGACCATATTTAAAAACGTTGCTAGTTTTGATTAAGAAGCCTTCTTGTCTGTTAATTGTATTTTGATACTATCATCTTTAATAACGGAAAAAATAATTGAAATATAAGCACAATTATCCTAAATAAATTCACCATATTTTAATGATAAAAACCTTCTTCTACCATAAACTGTCAAAGTTCATATAAATAACTATAATGGATTGCACACGACGCAAAAATATCTGCATAACACAAAAACAAAGTGAAAAGCATTGATTTACATCAAAAGGGTAATAAAATCATAATCACTTTTTTACACTGCTTATGTGCCAAATAAATTGAAATAAATATTTTATTGAAATAGAAAGTTAATTAATTACAAATTTCGCCTCACACTGTGACATTTCTATCTTTATCTTTTTCTAGACTGTAGCCCACCCATTTAATATCGAGGGAAGGTACCATAATAATTTGAATTCAAAATAAGTACCTACAACTACTACTTATTACATTTTCGTACATTCAGCTCGTATAATAAAGCGCACCAACGTTATTTCCAATACATCTTCTATAATTAATTTGGTGTTTCCAGCTCATTTAATTTATTAAAAACTAAAATCAGCGTTTTTAAATTTGGGTGTTCCAAGTACAACCCGGTAATTTCTAACAATTTCCTACTACAACTTTAATGTATTTTAGTACTTTCAGCTAGTTTGACAAAGGGAGAAATTAATTAATTAAGAAATCAAGTGGAGTAGAATGTGCACCCGGGTCATTTTCAACTATACAATTCTTTTCACTAATACCCCACAACTTTAATACACTTTCATACTTTCAGCAGTTTAATAAAGGAGAAATTAATTTTAATTGAAAGAAAAAATAAGAAATAAATCCTACCTTACTTTTGTAGTGTCTATGATTTGGAAGGAATAATTTTGAAATAACAACATCGTAGTCTCAACATCACAGGAAGGTAAGAAAAACTAAATGGAGGAGGTATAGATCGTTAAAGAGGCTTTGAAGAATTGAAATAAATTTTTAGTCAACCTGAAATAAAAGAAAAAAATGTTATTAGACAATACACGAAATAAAAAAATAATACCAAAACAACCGAAAGGACGAAACAATATTCTTAGAGCTTTTTCTAAAATATAGTTCTGAAAAAACAAAGCTGTTTTT